CAACTTCTATGATCAATTTGAATCATAAACATTTACCTAATGCAAGAAATTAGCAATCAATAATTCAACATTGTTTTGTAAGTTTTGTACCAACGGAACTATGGAAAACTACATTAATTACGTATTAGCAACTTAAGCTAAAAAAATGCACTGTAAGGGGGATCAGCTGTTAGAGAAGATGCCAGAAAGCGCGATGGATTCAATTTAGTCGTTTTTAATTTGAAATTGGTGTCAGTTCTGTGCAATAGGATCGTAAATTTCAGTGTAAAACCTATTAAAATTTTACGTTTCTGTGTGGATTTTGATGCTGTTAGCACTGAAATACTTGACAGTATCTCTGGTGCAAGAAATACTGGCTAAATACATTTTAATTTAGAAATTAAGGTCAATCGAAAATTCGAAATGACTGCTGTCAAGGCTATGTTCCTTGTTGCGAACCGATTGTTGCATCCAGTCGCTTATATTGAAAATAAAATGATTTAAGCAAGTATTTCTTGCATCAGAGATAATTCAAAGTTTGCTAATGTTAACAGCATTATAATACATGCAGAAACGTAAATTTTTTTAAGATGTGTATAAGAGAAGGCTCTATGACTTGTAAGTTGTATACTATACAGTCGAATGAGTCGATAGGATTTCAAGTGGATGCATTCAAATTCAAATTCGGTCCACCACGCCCCACGGCCAGTGTAGCTGTCAGCTGACTTTCTTCAGAAGTGCAAAAGCTCTTGCCGGTGAAGGTGTTTTACGATCGGTCCATAAAGAAGCGTTGATCGGTTCAAAATGACATAAGAACAGGTTCTTTTGAATAACCTATGGATTGCCACCATGCGTCCGCATCTGGCTTGTCTCAACAATTCATAGTGGTAAAGCAGAGAGTTTTTTAGACTCTCCCTCAAGTTCATTTTTGAGTCTTGTATGTAGACCAATAAAGTATCCTGGATAGTGGATACCAGCATTATCATACATAAGAAATTGGTTTAAATCTTAGGTAAATGAGGAAATTAAAAATGAACTGATTCTAAAAAAGCTCTGGTTTGCCACTATGCTCGACATACGTCTGCATCTGGGTGATCTGGCTTGTCCCGACGTACTGTACGTCCGCATCTGGGTAATCTGGCTTGTCCCGATGTACGTCCTCATCTGGTTTTGAGCATTTTAGTGCAATTCAGGGTGGAATTCTAGAAATGGAGGTTCACTTATAAAAAAGCTTTCCACCCAAGGTGGAATGCTTTCCTTAGATACACTGATACAGTGCCATGGTCAGGAAGATGTGCCAGGTGCGCGGGAATTTATATTGTCATTTTAACGACCTGCGCGGTGCGCCGTACTATGCCGGTAAAAAAAATGCGCCGTGCGCCGACAGCGCCGTACTTTTAGAAAGCTAAAATAGTTTAAATATGGACGCACAGCAATGCAAATTACATAATCACACTGACCGTACACACAAACGTGTATCCGCACTGTGTTGTGGTTGGATACGAGTTAACTAGATTGCTAACGCGTCAACTCAGGACTCGGGTTCTAAGAGTCAGCACAGTAATGAATATTCATTCATAGATCACAATTCAATCGGACATGAATTACAGAACTAAAGAAGGCAACATGGCTTAATGTGCCATCGGTGCCTTCTAATGAATGACTGGACTGGTTGCGGCAAGTAGGGTATGAACCTGTATGTCAATAGTACGATTCTGCATGCCAATGTTAGGACTACATATATTACCAACATCCTCCCGGCTGGCAAAATCGACGCGATCAATACAGTACCTAATAACAATGCGCGTAAATGGACTATACAAACTAGGTCAATATGGCATAATTACAGAGCGTAATTACGCTATGTGATACATAATATGAATATATATATTTGCAAGATAAGTCAATGGTCTGTCGTTTATTTTTGCTTCATTTGAGCAATAATGGCTTCCAAATCTGGGTGCATTATGTTATGTCATGTGTACTTTGAATGTGCAAAAATTATAACTATCATATGAAAATTGTTACGTAGGTTATCATAGCACGAACCACAATAGCGTATCAAGATTGCAGCTCTGCCACCAGCCTTCATTGAATTATCCCGCCTTTTTTCTAAAATTCAATAATCTCTGTTAGCTGCATAAAATACTCTCTGCTGTGGTGTTCGAGTTCCGGTTGACATGAAAACTTGCGGTTCCAAAAATGGCGGGAAAGCTCTAATCGCGCCGCTCTGAAGGCAATTCATGTAAATAATAATATAATCCACGCCTACGCTGGAGGAAGTTCAAACTTCAGAGGTGGAACTAAATGCAGTAAATTTGCAGTAAGTCGGAAAATACCAGAAAAATACCAGATTTAGGCATATATACCAGATCTAAATTATTCATACCAGACACCTTTTGAAAATACCAGATTTGTGAAATCTGGTATAGAAATATACCATCTGGCAATGCTGGTTCAGCGTTACTTGAAATCATCTACAGACAATGTTGCCATTCCATTCAGATGAAAACTGTGTCTAAATCAGAACTGTGTCGGACGGTTCCGCGGCCCGCGCCGAGTGCTGCGCGGCGCGGAATCGACTGTGATTTGCACGAACGCCTGCGCGAAAAAAATATAATTAGATTGATTTACACGAGAAATTTCCCCGTTTATATACATCTTCCTGAGTGTGGATACAGTGCTCTGCCAGGTGACTGACTATAAATGAAAAGGAGGATCAAAAGTGGAAAAACTGTTTCAGTTGTATGTATAGTACCTCAGATTTGTCATAAAATTGTTTGAATGTCTCTTGTTTGATAGATATTCTCTATTTTTCTTTTATTTAATGGATTTTTTGAAATTTTTCCAGGCTTTTTGTTTGTAATGATCAAGTTTAAGTTAAGTATTTAGTGAACCAGTACTGTAGTACATTTACCATATTTGGGGGCAGGGCTTATGGGCACAACCAATCACAGCTGGAAAGCATCCCCATCAACCAATCACAGCTTGAAAGCATCCCCAGCAACCAATCACAGCTGGAAAGCATCCCCATCAACCAATCACAGCTTGAAAGCATCCCCAGCAACCAATCACAGCTAGAAAGCAGATAACATTACAACTTCATTAACAAATCACAGCTGGAAAGCTGGAAGGGGCTAAAATCACAATCCCATAAACCAATCACAGCTGGAAAGTGATAGGATATGTATAATGTATATAATAAAATGGACTGGAAGTGGAAAGTTCCTGGACTTTCCAACCTTTCAGGTCCTGCTTTCCAATATCGGCGCACCGCGCAGGTCGTTAAAATGACAAAATAAATTCCCGCGCACCTGGCACATCTTCCTGACCATGGGCTCTCACCCCTCGGCCCTCAGCCTCAGGCAGTCAGGCCTCAGCCCCTCCCATCCAAGCATAGAAAACATCTATCTTTAGGGCCCCAACTAGAGCTTTCCTGCCATTTCAGGAACCGTGTCCGCAAGATTTCCGCCAGATGAATTACCTCCTATGAGTCCTATCTACCTAATTGTTAACAAAAGTGCATGATCAGGCCGCAAGATTCCAATTGTATTTAAAATGTGTCATGTTGAAGCCACAGCCCGCAAGATAAGTTGAAGATATCAGGAACATGTAGGAAAATTCCAATCCTGCAGTTCCATCCAATAACTTTCATTCTGATGAAATTTGTCCTGGTAAATGGTTAATGCCAGTAATTTATGAATGAACTATGAATGTTCAAGCTCAATGTTGTATAAACTATAATGTATAAACTATAAAGTATAAACAGCTGCAACTTGCAACTTAGAAGTCAGAAACAGTTGCTGTTTCTCTTTTATCTATCCTAACTGAAAAATTGGGCCAAAAAGCCAACTGTAAATTTGACAAAAACACCCATGAATCTGGCAAATATTACCCATGTCCTATTCAGCCTTCAGGGCTCAGGCCATTTTTAACCCTTTACTGCCCAAATTTCTGGGTCAAAAATCGCAAATTTCACTTTCCTGGTTTTTAGTCTCACCTTAAAGCTGACATTCTGACCTATCCAACGGTACCAAAATCATCTCTGTATGTTGATTTATGCCTTGACGACAGTTTGTGAAAGGGTTAGAGGTGGGAGACTTCTTTCACTTTCAAGATATGCGAAAATTACCGGCCAGGCACATAAATAGACAACCTGAAGATGCTTATCTTTAGTTACCTGGCTGCTGTTGTGTGGGATGGTGCTCATGCAGTCGTTCTCACCTTCCTTGACTGAATTTCAGCTCCAGTAATGTCTAGTCTTGTATCCATGCCACCTTGAATGCCTATTTTGAGGCGCTTGGGACTTTGCCGCACTCTACTGAACATTCACACATATCGTCACTGCAAACCTATCTCCTCCTAGAGTTTTTAAGCTACAGCGATGTGAGATATACTGTTCGATTTGCAAATAAAAGATCTAGAGATTGGTCATAGTTTTTTTCAATTTTGTTATAGTTTTGAAGATATTTTGAAAAAAAGGAGGGGGAAATTCGAAAGGGTGGGGGGAAATCACAATTTTTTTCTAAAAATGCCCACCCCATCCACAAAAATTAGAATTTTGAAAAACAGAGAAGACCAATAGATAGATATGGTCCTTCCGCATTGAATGATATGATAACCCTCTGACCCACTTAACCCTCTGACCCACTTAATCCTCTTGACCCACTTAACCCTCTTAACCCACTTAACCCTCTTGACCCACTTAATCCTCTGACCCACTTAATCCTCATGACCCACTTAATCCTCTTGACCCACTTAATCCTCTTGACCCACTTAACCCCTTCTCTCAGTTAAACGACTAAACCCTCTTAACCCTTGATTATTCATTTTGAATTAATAATTAAACAAAATATTATTCAACAGTATTTAATCAATAATTGCTATACCACATTAATCATTCAAAAATCATTAATAAACATTATTTATTCAGGTCTTATTAGTAAACAATTATTATGCACAGTGATTATTCAAGATTAATCATTTAACATTAATTATTCAGCATTAATTATCCAATATAAATGAATATTTTAGCAGCTGATGCTGAGGCCACTGAGGCAGGCGCTGAGGCCGTGAGGCTGAACACGGAAGGTGTGGCGGCCGCTGAGGCGGGCCAGTGGGAGGAGGCTGAGGCGCGCCTCAGTGAGGCAGTGCGCCTCGCGCCTCACTGGGCCGCGCCTCTCAACAACAGGGCCCAGCTGTACCGCCTGCTGCATGACCCACTTAACCCTCTTGACCCACTTAACCCTACTGACCCACTTGACCCTCTGACCCACTTAACCCTCTTAAACCTCTTAACCCTCTTAACCCTTGATTATTTATTTTAAATTAATAATTTTACATGAATCACTACACAAAAATATAATTCTACTTTGATTATTTAAGAATTATTATTTAATAATATTTATTCAACTATTATTTTTAAATAATTGTAATTCAACATTAAATAATCAACATTAATTATCAAACATTAATTATTCAACAATCATTATTCAACATTAATTATTCAACTCAACAATTATTATTCAACATTTACTTATTAAACATTAATTATTCAACATCAGTTATTCAACAACCATTAAACAACAATTTTTATTTAACATTATTTATTCAACTATTATGTAATAATGTCACTAGTTTAACTTAATAGCAAAGAAAACACCACAAAAATTCATACTATCTTTATAGAAAACGTTTCGGAGTCCAGCTTCATCGCCAGTTCGAAAATTCTAGAACACAGATAATCAATAATTAGTACAGTCAAAATTACAACAAAAAACCAAGCTGTAAAACCTACCTACTTACAATTTCGAGCGGGTAAGAGCTAAATTCAAACAAGGCCTCTGTTTAAAAATATACAAAGATTTTAAAATGCGCAAATAAGAAACACCGGAACTGAGCCCGCACAGCCGAATGAGGTGGTCGCGATAGTAAGTTAACAGTGGGCCCATACTTTCAAAAAAAGTTAAGAGATCGTAAGTTCATCAGCCAATCATTGACGGCCTTTCAAGCAAAATCCACCAATCATAGACAAGAAAATAGAGCGTAAGTA